AGAGAATGTCGTTGAAATGCTCGGCGAAATTGCTTCGTCATAGATCAACGTAAATCCCATCGGTCAACTCCAGCGAAGTTGATAAAAGCAGGTCGAGCAGTCTACTAAGCCTCGAAACGAGCGATTCGAACGAGAATTCGGGCGTGGAACGTGTCGTGGCTTTGAACTACATACAATCCGCGATTTTTCCAATTCTGCTGCGGATTACGAGAACGTAACAAGCGTTTACATTGCAAACGCAAATGTGTTATTTTTGCCGAATTGCTTTTTGCACGTTTGCTTTTTTACCGTTTTAAGTCACGTCATTTAAACGTATTAAATTATAATTTACACATGTCTCTCTCTCTCCCTCTCTCTCTCCCTCCTTTCTTCCTTTTAATCCTTCTCTTTTCCTTTCTTTCTCTCAAACGTGTTAAATAACGTAACTTAAAACGGTAAGAAAAGCGTAAAAAAAGCCGAATTATATATTTATATGTTTAATCTTTAATATCTTGCATAGCTCATTGACGATATATAGCGCGAAAAATGTTTGTGTTCCTATTGTGCATTGGCGCACATCATTTATTTTTCGATTAGCTAGCTCGTGATTTTCATAAAGTCAGTGTTCCAGCGTTCTTTATGTTGCTCAATATGAATTTAATATCACAATTTCAAAATTCAAAATAGTGGAATTAATTGGAGGCCAAGATTCAAAATTTATCTGATTGTTATGAAACCCGATATCTAAGAGTTTTTCAGGTTACTGAATATTAATTTGAGTTTAAAAATATCTAAATTTAAAATGACGGACCCAATATGGCTGTCAAAAAAACATAATCTATCTGATTATTATGAAACTCAATATTCTCAATATAGCGACATAAAATATATAAAAAATAAAAAATTTTGTCAATAAATAAAATTTTTTAATTCATAGTTTTTAGGAACGTTTTAGGTTCTCATTTCAAAGGTATAAACATTTCTCAGTTTTTGAATAAAATAATATTAGCACAGTGTTGTATTAGTTTCACAGTGTTGCACGTGGTAGAATTACACTCTAGTCATATTTTTTATATTTTATATTTTTTTATCTATTTTATATTTTTTATGTTCAATTCATACTTAAATTTATATTTAGCGACTCAAAGAACCTTCAAATACTAGGTTTCATAACAATTACATAAATTTTGAATTTTGAAATTTTGTTCTTAAATTCATATTCAGCGTCCTCAAAAAAGATATTAGTCTTTAAAAGCTTTAATAGTTGATCACTTTTATCTTGCCTACAGGAACACAAATAATGAATCCTGTTTAAGGGATTAAATAAGGTGATTTCAAGATCTTATTCGCATGTATATTTTTTAATACAATCCATTGAAACTTTGTGATGTATTTGTGCTAAAATCATACAATGAAAGAGGATGTTTCTATATAGTAAAAAAAATTATTCTTATTAAAGTTGTAATAGAAAAATAGCAGAACAAAACATAAACTAAAAAAAATCGAGCTATATGTGATCCCACCTTGTTGTTTACGTTCCATAATTCCACCATATTGTTTAAGAGTTAAAAATAATACACTTGGATTTGCAGTGTAGGCGCGAGATCGTTTCGATTGTTATAAGAATAAATGCATACACCGAGTGTATACCGAGTGTCCGATAGTGATCTACAAATTGTTTGACATGCTACAAGCCGTGAATAATTTTGCTTTTGTCGCGAAAATAAAGTCACATAAAGCGCGCGCGTGCGACGAACAAAACCGACCATTCCCCGTTAGAGAAATGCGAAAACGGCAAGAACGTAACCGGCTCCGTGATGTGGATGCCTCAATAATAAAATGCACGCTTTCTCATTGTCATTGCAGGGCACGCTGTGCTATTAATAAATCTATGATGTGCGTGATAGCGATGTGCCGACCGCAGAAAGAGAGACAGAGAGAGAGAGAGAGAGAGAGAGGGGGGAGAGAGAGAGGCTCATGCGAGGAAACGTAATGTGTTTGTGTCACACGTCACTGTGTGTGTACGTCTCCGATCTTACGTGTCATGTAACGTCGTTTCGTATTGAACGAGTTTCCACGTAACGTGAGAACTCCAAGTGTCGGGGCGAAATAACGTCGATTAGTACTGCTAGCATGCAGCTAAACTATAGTTTTAAAAAAGCCGACTTCTTTAGATCGCTGGAAAAAAACAAGAAAAAATGGTTTTTTGCGAAAATTTGCTATTTTTGCTACTTAAAGAAAAAAATATTTCAAGAGAAAATGTTTTATTTTATTTGAAAAATAAACTATGATTTCATTTATTTATGTGTGATTTGCTTTTTGTTTCCCTTGTACTATGACATTATTATAAATAAGAAGAAAGAAGAAACTTTAAGGTCAGAGGTTGCGGAGTAAAAACATATAAAAGAATTAGAATGTTATCATAGAGTCTCATGTTTTAATACCTTTACTGGATAAAATATCCTCAGCAATGACGTGTAGTGATCATAATCGATATAAAATATAATAACTTCATAATCGATATAAAATATAATAACTCAGAAATATACAAGATACATATACAATTTGCTATCAGATTCTGTTTGCAAACTTTACTGACAGAACAACAGCAGATTGTGGACACAGATGACTTTGGATTTATCGATAAATTATGCTCAATATGTTATCAAATTATTAACAGATTATTTACTGAGGGAGGGGGGAGAGGGAGTTAATTTAACTTTAGTTAAATGCGCGCAGTTAAATGTTAAATTATTTTCTTTTTAAAATAATTAGGGAAAGAAGCAAATGTGGATTCTAATCAAACACGCATGAATTTTTCCAAACGAATTTTTCTATGTTTGGAAAAGAAACTGAAAAAATCTGCGAAAAAATTGAAAAAAATCGGTTTTTTCCATATTTTCAAAACTATAGGTTAAACTCGGTAGAATTCTCGTCAGATTTTTTTCATCAGAACTTTCATCTTCATCAGGTTTTTCATCCCACGCGTGAGTAATCTTACAAAATGAGAATAAAACAGAATAATCTTCTATAAAACTTGGATTAAATCGACCTAGGATTGATCCAACCGCTCGAAATATTACGTGTCAGATAAAACGAATTGTTTTATCTGACACGTAATATAATGAAAAGAAAACTCTCTTGTTGTCCTCTTTTTATAATTTAAGTCTTGCTATGTATGTCTAATATACGTATATATAGCATCTGTTCTATATTATTGAGCCTTTGAAAACCTATACACAAATATTATAGTATAAAATCAACTCAGACTAGTTACTATCTGACTTAATATTGACTTATACTGATATAATTTTTAGGTCGTCGAGAAATATACTTTATTATTGTGAAGAAGATACGAATCAAGGTCGAAACGTTTGGATGATGTAAACAATAAAATGTATCTCTTAACGATTTAGAAATTATGTTAACTTGGCTTAGTTATAGTTATGTGATTTTATTATACTATAATTGTGTATAATAAAAGTACTATATTTGTGTATAATAAAAATATATAATAAAATTAAGTGATTTTAAAATTAAGTAATTTCATTTGATTGGATATCAAAAAGCATTATAAAGTTATATACAATTATATATATATATATATATATATATATATATATATATATATATATATATAT